TTAAATCAAGTAGACTTAACAGACATTTATAGAGCATTTCATCCAATAGCTACAGTTGCATTAAAATTTCACTTTAAATCAAGTAAACTTAGCAGACATTTATAGAACATTTCATCAAACGGCTACAGAATACACATTCTTCTCATCAGCACATGGAACATTCTCCAGGATAGACCACATATTAGGCAAAAAATAAAATCTCAACAAATATGCATATATATATATATGAAAGAAATTTATAAAATCCTGAAAAAAGAATTCAAATAAGCTCAGTGAGATACAGAACAATTCAAAAAAGCAATACAAATTTAAAAAAAAATTTAACATAGAAGTGAGAAATTTGCCAAAGAGATATTGTAAAAAAAAAAAATCTTCAACAATATGTTAAATATATTTTAAACATATATATAGTAGCTATTTTAAATGAGATTGTTTCTTTATTTCATTTTTGCTAGTTTGTTATTGATGTATAGAAATGCTACTAATTTCTAGCTATTTTATATATACAATATTTATAATTTGTATATATGTAAATTATAAATTAACAGAGGAGGTAAAAGACCTATACAGGGAAAACTTCAACACACTGATGAAATAAAGAGAATACAAACAAATAGAAATGCATCCCATGCTCATGGATCACAAAAATTAATATCATAAAATCATTAAAATGAACATAATGATCAAAGTATTCTATAGATTCAATTCAATGCCTGTCAAAATACCAATGACATTGTTTACAAAATAGCAACAACAAAAAAAATCCTAAAATTTGTATGGATCACCTCACACACACACACCCACAAAATGCCCAGCCCAGATAACCAAAGAAGTCCTGAGAACTGATGAACAAAGCTAGAGGCATCACATTACATGAATTCAAAATAGACTGCAAGGCTATAGTAACCAGAACATCATGCTATTGGTATAAAAACAGACTCATAGATCAATGGAACAAAATAGAGAACCCAGAAATAAATCTACATATTTATAGCCCACTAGTTTTAACAAAGGTGTCAAGAACATATGTTGGGGAAAGGATACCCTCTTCTATAAATGGTGCTGGGAAAATTGGATAGCCATATACAGAAGAATAAAATTGGACTGCTATTTCTCACATTGTACACAAATCAATTCAAAATGGATTAAAGAATTTAAATGCAAGACCTGAAACTATAAAACCACTAGAAGAAAACTTAGGGGGAACATTTTAGGACACTGGTCTAGGCAAAGATTTTAGGATTATAACCTCGAAAGTACAGTCAAGAAAAACAAAAATAGATAAATGAGATTATATTAAACTAAAAGCTTCTTCATAACAAAGGAAAGAATCAACAGAGTGAAGAAATAACCTGCCAAATGGAAGAAAATTCACAAACTATTCATCCCACAGGGAACCAATATCCAGAATATACAAGGAACTTGATATACTAAAGCTATGTCCCCAGCCAAATCTCATCTTGAATTGTAGCTCTCATAATTCCCACATGTCATGGGAGGGGTGCAGTGGGAGGTTACTGAATTAAATTATGGGGTCAGGTTTTGCTCATCCTTTTCTTGTGATAGTAAGTCTCAGGAAAGGTGTTGGTTTTATAAAGAACAGTTCCCCTGGACAACCTCTCTTGTCTGCTGCCATATAATACATGCTTTTGCTCCTTCACCTTCCAGCATGATTGCTCCTCCTTCACCTTCACCCTCCCCAGCCATGTGAAATGTGAGTTTGTTAAACCTCTTGCCCTATAAATGACCCAGTCATGAGTATTTCTTCATAGCAGTATGAAAATAAACTAATACAGAACTCAAAAAAACTCAACAGGGGAAAATAGTAAGAATCTGATTACATGCAACTGATTACAAAGTGGGTAAAGGACATGAATAGACATTTCTCAAAAGACATATAAATTGCCAATAAGTTTCTTAAAAATGCTCAACATTACTAATCATCAGGGAAATGCAAATCAAAACCACAAAGAGATGTCCTCTTATCCTAATCAGAATGGCTATTAATAAAATGACAAGAAATAACAGATGCTGGTGAAGATGTAAAGAAAAGAGAATTCTTATTGGTGGAAATGTAAATTAGTGTAGCCATTATGGAAAACAGTATGGAGGTTTTTCAAAAAAACTAAAAATAGAATTACCATACCATCCAGCAATCTGGCTATTTTATCCAAAGGAAAGGAGATTAATATATAAAGGAGATACCTGTACTCACATATTAATTGAAGCACTGTTCACAATTGCAAAGATATGGAATTCACCTAATTGTCTGTCAACAGATGAATGGCTAATAAAAAGTGGTATGTATACACAACAGAATACTATTCGGTCATTAAAAAGAATGAGATTATGTCATTTGCAGCAACACAAATTGAACTGGAGGTCATTACGTTACATAAAATAAGCCAGGCCCAAGAAGAAAAACATCACATATTCTCACTCATATGTGGGAGCTAAAAATGTTGATCCCATGAAGGTAGAGAGTAGAATGAAACCAGAGGCTGGGAAGGATGTGTGGGTGGCAGGGAGAGCGATAGAGAGAGGCTGGTTAACAGGTACAGACACACAGTTAGATGGAAGGAGTTTTAGTGTTTAATAGCAGAGTAGATTGACTACAGTTAGCAAAAATATGTTGTATATTGCAAAATAACTAAAAGAGAGGTCTTGAAGTGTTCCCAGCACATAGAAATAACAAGTACTCAAGGTGATGGAAATCCTAAATACCCTGACTTGATCATTACATAGCTTATGCAGGTAGCAAAGTATCACATGTACTCTATAAACATGTACAAATATTATGTGTCATTTTTTAAAGTATAAAAAGTTATTTGGGCTACTTTTTTCTCCCTCTTGGTTACTGCAATATTTTTAGCACTTTTCTTTTTTCTTTCTTTCTGGTTTTTTTTTGTTTGTTTGTTGTTTTTTTTTTTTTTTTTTTTTTTTTTGTGGGGGGATGTTTTTAATTTCTACTCTCCCTTTTACTTAATTTCTTTTCTTTAGCATGTATTTGGTGATGGTTTGCTGTTTTATTTTATTTCTATTCAGAGTTCTGTCAGGCTGTGTCTAATAGTGTCTTGCTATCCTACACCTCTTCCTTAAGTTTCCACTCCTTCTTCATTGTATACTTTTTAAATGGCATTTCTTTAATGAAAATTTTATTTTTTGTAAATTTGCTCTTCCCCATATCAATAATTTTCTGGGGAATACTCGTCTTCTTCGGGTGTTCTTTGTTGCTCTTTTCTTCTTTTTTCAGTAGCATCTTTGTATAGATGTTGTATATAAAAAGTTCTAGTCCCTTTTCTAAAATATCATTCATATGACTGGGTGTTTTTGAGCCAGCTTTTGCAAGAGATTTTTGTAGGAGGAGTGAAGCCAGTGTAAGATTCCAAATTTGTTGCTTTACACAAAGCACACATTCATTCTCTGCTCCTCAGCCTCCTCATGCAACTGCTTCCTGCAAAATTTTGTTTCTATGCAGTTCTACATTTGCGCCACCTCTTTTGCTTTGCTTTACTGTGTTACGTCATTTTCACACTATATTTCACAATTTTTCCTTCAAGGTGGGCAAACACTTTGTCAGATTTTACTTTTGTTAGAACTTTTTCCAGTCTGCTGCCACTGAGTTCTGAGGTTGAGAGCCTTTGCTAATAGTTGTTGTATTTATATTTTCTTATGCCTATGCCCCTGACCTCTGAATTTTACAGCTGCCTATAGCCAAGAGCTAGTAGCTATTTTCCTAAGGAACCAACTGAAATGGATTCAATGTATTCATCTAAAACAGTGCCAAATCTGTTTTTATGGATGTAACTGTTCCTAATATTCTTAGGCTGGTTACTCAAAGAGCAGAACCTGAGGCATAAGCCTATGCGGTATTGCTTTTTTAAGCAGTGTGATCTCATGGATCAGGAGTTAGAGAAAGAAAACAAGGAATGAGGAGAGTCAATGCAAGAGTGCATTCCTGGGCTGGCTACCACTTCACATCAAGCAAGCCTGACTGTTCCTTTTTTTTTTTTTTTTTTTAACTGTCTTTTGAGTTGCATGTTCCAAGTTGCACATGCATGGGCACTGCTTTGGTATGAATGTTTGTTTGTGTTTCGTCCAAAATTCATGTTGACACTTAATCCCCAATGCAACAATATTAAAAGATGTGGCTTCTGGGAAGTAATTAGGCCATAAGGACCCCACCCACATGAATGGATTTGTGTTTTTATTAAGAAGCTGAAGAGAACTAGTTAGGCCCCTTTTGCCCTTTCACTTATCACCACGTGAGGACTCAGCATTCAAGGCACCATCTTGGAAGCAGCGATCAGACCCTCACCAGACACAAAACCTGCCAGTGTCTTGATTTTGGACTTCTAGCCTCTAGACCTGTGACAAATAAATTCCTGTTATTTATAGATTATTCGGTCTCAGGTATTTTGTGATAGCAGCCGTGACAGACCAAGACAGCACCAAGCTGAGACTGCTGTTCTTACTAAACGTCAGAGTCAACAAAGAAGCACTAATAACAGTTGCAGGTGGGCAAACAGAAGTCTCTATTATATGGTGGCTGCAGATTTGGATGGCCACAGGTTCTGCTTTACAGACAGAGTCCCAGTTTAGGTCTGTGGCTCTGCTGTAGTTGTTAAAAGCACCTACCTTTTCTCTAAAACCTCTTCTGAATTCTATGGCAAATTATATGGCTACCTAGGAGCAAGCAGTAGTGGGTGAGCCAGGAACAAGCGTCCAAAGTCCTTGGAAACACCTGAGTCTGAAAAGAGCAGAAGTAGCATCAAAGAGGTGCCTGAAGCACAGTCTTCAACACTTTTCTGGATATTGTCTACCTTCAAGTATACTCTCTAGTCAGTCACATACTCCGAGAGAATAAGAATGACTTTTCCTTTGTTGGAAATGTTAATACTGACGTTCTAGGGACCTCACTTTCTAGGCCATTTGCCAGTGAATATTTCTAAATATTCATATAAATAAAATGATAAGATGCATGAGGGAGGGATAGGGTGATGGCCTGCTCTCCCAAAGGAGGTGATGAAGTGTTTATGCAGGTAAGTATTCAACGTGACCTTGGACTATAGTCTCAACCCACAAATTCAACCAAAAATGACTACAATTTCAACCTAAAAATGATCAACTTTTAATATTATTTCAATGCTGGCATTCATTGATGGGGTTTAATTAATGGCCCATAACATAATCCTGAAAGATATCTCTACTCAAAACTACTTCAAGAAAATGCATATAATCTGAAAATTGTTACACAGTTGTAAATTCTGCCAGATCTAGAAAGATCATGATCAAGTAAAATATATCTTCCTAAATAATCTCGGAATATTTTCAAACAGCTAAGACATAGTATACAGAGTAGTGTTCCGCTTATTGTAATTTTGGCTTCAAAGGTAAAAGTTAATTGGATATATTGAAAACCCCAGCAAAACTCCAGAAGTAAAAGTCATCCATTTTAATTAGGAAATGTTCAGAGCATATCATGGTCCACAATCATCCGAAATGCAAATCATGAGTCATTCTAATATGCAAATCACAAAGCAAGGGGCAAGATTTTTCAAAATGTGTTCTCTCCCACAGACTGGAATTTGCATTTAAAAGCACAAAAACAAATGTCTGAAAGGTTTGGTCACAACATCAGCAAAAAGCAAATCAAGAGAAGCATCAGCTATTAACTCTCAAAAAGCCCTTTTTATACATCCCTTGCTAAGGCACATGGAAGGGAGTTGGGACGGGGGGCCACAGAGGCCCTCCAATCAACCAACCAACAGACCAAACAATTGTATGTGAGTTGAGAACAAAATGATTGCAGATAAAATGCTGGAAAATTAAAGCTACGAGAAAAACCTGTGCTTCCTTACTCTAATACAAAAACATATTGTTTCCTCGATTTGATGATACCATCAAGTAGAAGCTGCATTAGCAATTTAATAACAGGCTTTTGGAGAAAAAAATTTTTTGCATTTTTTGTTTCTCGTGGGCTGCTTTTTCTCACTAACCAACAACAGCATACATTTCACATAATAATTTATCATCTTTCCTTTTGCAAATTTTTTTTTTACTTACAGAGACAAAGAATTATTCTAAAAGACTTTTAACATTATGGAGACACACTGCCTTTCAAAATTCATGCTTGTTGGGTTTTTGACATATATAGCGGCTTTAGGATTATGAGCATAACTTTGAGGCATTTCAAAAATATTAAATTTCCTATGATTCAATGTATAGCTTAATTTTTGTCTTACTTGAATCATATTTTGCTGATAGTCATCCAGTTCTTGAAAGTCAGACAGACATTTTAATAGGTAGGTAGTCACTGTCTAAGAGATAGAAATATGAATTAATTATAGCAACCATTTCAAGCTTTCACTATCAGAGTTTTGGCAATTTCTACTTCCTTTGATTATATTGCCTGGATGTGAATGACTGTATTTTTAAAACTATAGCTGTAAAACTAAATTTCTTAAATATTTTAAGCAACGAATTACAGATCCAAAACTAAGTTAAATTGCAAATGCTACTACCACCACCACCACTACTGCTACTACTAATCCTAGCATAAATAATTCATAGATATACCTGCATTTAGAGGATGCAAAATACTTTCACAACAAGGCCAAATCCATGGATATTAATCAGTGCTAGTCAATAATCATTTACAGATAATTTTCTCTTCTGGCTGTAATGGAGTTGCTTGCAGCAGAATAACATTATTTCCACTATGAATACTTACAAATTTATTTTAAATCATTTTGAAGGTATTAGAGAGCACCTGAGCTACTCCAAAGATTTAAGTGTACAGATTTTGAAAGAGAAAGGACGTACTTAAGGTACATCTATTTATCTGCATATTGCTTTTCTTCTCAAAATATTTTTTTGATTCATGGCCCATAAAAAGAGTCTGAGAAGCTGGTCATTGAGTGACCACTAAGTGGCAGAGAAGTCAGTAACAGTTGTAGGCAACACCATAAGCCTGAAAAGGCAAAAAAAAAAGCACAGAATTTAGGCCCACCAAGGTAGCCAAGATAGGTGTCACAGAATCAACATTCAACTTCCTTAATTTTCTTCATCACATGTTTGTTTCCTTTTGCATCGATTTCTGCTCTTCTCAGCTTTTTCTTACAGACAGCATAGATTTGGCTCTGCCTTTTATGCTCAGTCTGAAAACCTCTGCCTTTTAATTGGAGTGTTTATATAGATACATAAAAAGTAATGATTGAGAAGTTTGGGTCTAAATTAGCCATTTTGTTATTGCTTTTCTGTTATTTCCATCTGTTTTTGTTGCTCTTGGTCTCTTTTCCTGCCGTCTTCCAACACTTTATTTTTTTCTCATTCAAAGAAAAAGAATTTTTACTCAGTATGTAATCAAGGAAGCTATTTAAAAAATAAATGCTCAAGGGGCATAAGTAGAACAACCTTAGATGTCGTCATGTACTTGCCCAGGGACATTGCTTTCCTGAAGAAAGGAGGCACATCAACAGAAGGGGAGCACCAAGTTGCCAGTGATTTCTATGCTTAGGCATTCTGCCCTGTTTGTGGATCTTCATTCATAGCCAAAGTAAAAACTATCCTTTGTGGTGCTGATTAGTCCTGTTTAGAAACATTCAGAGACCAAGCATAGTAGCTCACACCTGTAATCTCAGCACTGTGGGAGGCCAAAGCAGGCAGATCACTTGAGCTCTGGAGACTGAGACCATCCTGGGCAACATGGCAAAAGCCCTTCTCTACAAAATAAAAAATTTAAAAATAAATATTAAATGAAATTAAGATTTTAGTTTCTTCTCTTTCTAAGCACATGGTAGGATCTCCTTCCTCTGCCCTTTGAAATTAGGCGTGGACATGTTACTTGCTTTCATCTTAAAACATGAGTTGAAATAATAAGTAACGCTTCTAGGCAGAAACTCTTAAGAGCAGACAAACTGCAGCATTGTCTCCAGCACCTAGATCATAAAAGCCATGGAAAGTCAGAGTCTCTGCAGCCTGGATACCTAAGTAGCGGCAACAAACCTCCTGCTGGCTATGAGAGAAATGGAGAGTCATTTTAAAAACAAAAGAAACCGTACGTCAAGTCGCTGATTTGTGGCTGCTTATTACTGCAGCACAGCTGAACTCATCCTTTCTGATACACCCTTTAAAATCTTTTGGGCTGCATCTCCCCACGAGCCGCGGGTCAAGTGCCAGTGGCTAAGGGCGCGCGAGGATCCGCCACCCACCCGTTCGGCGTGGGCTCTGGCGTCAGGGTCTTTGTGTCGTGACAACCGCTCCAGCAGCTTAGGAGTCAGCAGGTGCGGCCGTCTTAGCCCTGAGCGGGCTCCGCGGCTACCTGCGGGCCTCTGCTGGTGCCCGACCCTTCTCTTCGCGGACCCCGAGCCAAGCAGCGACGCCGAGCCAACAGCCCGAGCACCAGGCCATGGCGGCCTCGCACCGGCCCATCAAGGGGATCCTGAAGAACAAGATCTCCAGGACTTCCTCCACGGTGGCGACGTCCGAACAGTCCCGCGCGAGTGTCCGCGAGGAGCTGAGCAAAATATCCCAGAAGGGGGATGAAATGAACATCCTGGAGGCCTATCATCCAGCAGACAAAGACTATGGTTTAATGAAAATAGATGAACCAAACACTCCTTACCATGGTTTGATGGGTGATGAAGAAGACACATGTAGTGACGCAGAAACCACTGAAACCTTGGCACCAGATATCTTAGCTAAGAAATTCGCTGCAGCGCAGGGCTCGGAGCCCAAGTGCCTGGTTCAGGAACAAGACAGCAGTGGGGAGGAGGATAGTGACCTCTCAGCTGAAGAAGGAGAAAAAAGGCGACAATTTGAAACGAAAAGAAAGCTTCACTACAATGAAGGACTCAATATCAAACTAGCTAGACAATTAATTTCAAAAGACCTACATGATGATGAGGAAGATGAAGAAAACAAGACTGCAGATAGAGAAAGCATGAATATGCAAGAATCAAATCAAGGATCTACCGCAAGTGACCAACGACAAAACAAATCACGAAGTTCATAGATTTGTTCAACACTGCAATTGCTTGTTAAATATAAACCGTTACTATAATACATTGCTTCTTCCTCTCCACAATTCATGACTTAAGTACCAAAATGCATGCGTTATTATATATTGCCAAGAATTAAATGATAACCTTAGATGCTGATTAGACTGAAAATTCCTAATTGATATTTATATATTCTTGTGCCTAGTACTTTACCACAAATACAGTGTAATATCATCAATCCAAAACTGCATTACTTTTGTAAAAACACTGGTTAATATGTATAAGATATTATATAGCTTTTTATGCTTAAACAGTATCTTCAAGGGGAACTCATTTTCATCACTCTTAAATGTAGTGGTAGCTCTTACAAAGTTTGTTGTAGTTGTTGTTTTAATCAAAAGCCAATTGAACAGCATGATATATAGACTGATAAATATTCAGGCTGAATGGTATTTTAACGCTTGTCTTCAACTTGATTTGTCTGTTTAATTGAAAAGGATTATAAGAGTTACTGTTGCATTTTCTGGCCTACTACCTTTAAAAATTCCTGTTGTTTCTTTGTATTTACAAGGAAAGGACTGAACTTTTCTCATCAAAACTAGCTTTTTTTCCCACAAATAAATTAGCAGATTAAACTTGCACTAAAGTCTGCTCTGGTTTTTTTTTGTTTTTGTTTTTTTGTTTTTTTCATTGGGGTGTAGTTATGTTTTTGGTACACTGGACAGACTTCAGAGCAGTTTTCTAAAAAATAAATATTCTTTTTTTTTTTTTCTTTTTTTTGAGACAGAGTCTCTCTCTGTTGCCAGGCACCAGGCTGGAGTGCAGTGGCACGATCTTGGCTCACTACAACCTCCGCCTCCCGGGTTCAAGCAATTCTCCTGCCTCAGCCTCCCAAGTAACTGGGACTACAGGCATGCACAACCACACCCAGATAATTTTTGTATTTTTGGTAGAGACGGGGCTTCACCATGTTGGCCAGGATGGTCTCGATCTCCTGACCTCTTGATCTGCCTGCCTTGGCTTCCCAAAGTGCTGGGATTACAGGTGTGAGCCACCCGGCCCAGCCAAAAACAAATATTCTAATGTAGCTATCTCAGAATTCCCTTTAAATACCTGTCTTAACCTCCTGCTTTTGTTTCCTACTCCTTTCCACACATATGCACACAATCCTGTACCTTTTAAAGAATCATTAAGGTTGTCACAACATTAGGAACTCTTTCTCTTCTGCTTCTGTCATTTGCTGCAATAATAAAATTCTTATTTTGACCGTCAATGCCTATTAATTCTTCTAATAAATGAACAAAATAGATTGAGTAGCAGTAGTACTATAAGCAGGAAATACAGTTTAACTGCTGAATTTCTATACCTCTCTGATTTACAGCTTGCTAATTAAATTGCTATTATTTGTTTGGCTTACTTAGACTTAAGAAAACAACTAACTGAGGATTTTTCGTTTTGTTTTGTTTTGTTTTGTTTTCATGAGGAGAAAATTGTGTGTAACCAGTGATATGATTATTCCTGAATGTACAGACAGAAGTAAGCCTGGAAATTGTTTAATTTAAAAGCTTATAATAGTCCCTGCTTTAAGGGAATACGATAATGTATACTATGACAAATGTATTTTATTCTTCTAGCAGAGTAAGAATGATTTGCAATTTTTTTCCTGGAAATGAAGTGCAGAAAAGTCCTGTGTGTCTTGGATGATGATTGCATTTCTAGACAATTATTCGTATCTTAATTTTTTGTTAGTACCAAAATAATCTGTTATAAGAGCAGACTTTCAAAATAATTTCTGTATACTACATATACAAGAAGATTTTAATTGAACAGCTTATCTTCTACTTGCAAGTTTATGGAAATATCAGTATGTCAAAATAAATAAAAAGTGGGAGAATTTTTTGATGTTTGAAGAATGTGCTTATTATTTTGATTTTCTAAGTGAGATATAATCAAAGTGCTGCTGAACTGTAGGTGCAGTAGTCTACTAAACATTTCAGCTAGTGATAGTACTGATTTAGAAACAAAACTGCTTATCTCTGCTTTCTGAATTAATGTTGGGATCACCTGTTAAAATCTGTTTTGGGGATATTGAGATTGTCTGTACGTACATGTGCACATATATTCATGTACCCAGACCTCTGATTTTTGAGTTCTTAGAAAGTATCCACATACTCTTTTTTTATGCAGAAGTAGCTGTTGTACAGAAAAGAAAGGATAAGGCTTTGAACAGCTGATTCTTTTTGTGTTTCCTGTAAACTATTTTTTGAAATTTAAATCACAAGCAAACTCATTTTTTTATTTTGAGAAAGTAAATGATGATTTCAGAGGAGTAAGACACACCAAGCAGAATGCTCAGTAGGATTTTAGGTAGTCAAATGCAGCTGAAAAAAGGTACTTTCAAGTCATAAGTGGCTAAATGATATGGTATGAACTAGTCAAAATATGAACCCTTATGATTCAAGTTAGATTTTCCTCTGGAGAGATGGATGTGAATGTTCAGTTCCTGTCAAGGTAGATTTTACTTTCAACTTGTTCATCAATATCACTTTCTGTTACCTTGTCTGTTTTCATTTGTCTAAAATTTTCTAGGGATGACTAAAGTTTGACAAATGGCAGAAATGGATTGTTTAAGCTGAAGATTAGAGCAAGATGCCCTTTTCCCCATGACTTTCATTTTGTTTGCATTTTCCCCTTAAGTTCATTTTGTTATATACTGTAACAAAATACAACAATATGAAAAAATAAATGAATAAAATACAATCTTTTAGGTGAGATAATGCAGATTTTACAGCTTTGTGTGCAGACACACACAAAGACACAATTTGGGTTCTTACACATGGTTTTGTTACATTTTGCCAATATTCATGGTCTGATTTGTACTTTCATACTCAACTTTACTCAACATAGAATTTAACTTTTTAACTTCAGAAATTATTATGTTAATATGTAGAATCACATGCTTTGGGTTATCATTAGTGCTTTCTGTCTAGTCCTCTTACAATTATACCCTTCATTTTCAATATTCAATGTAAAAAGTTTATTCTTAGAAAAACTTAAACTAATTCATCAAAAGGAAAGTTTTGGGAAAGTCTACTTAATATGTACATCCCCTAGGTAGTCTTTATATTGCCTTATTCCTCAAACACAAGGAAGTTACTAAAGTCACAGTTTGTCAATGAGAGGGGTTAAATATTGGGCTTAGTAAGGCATATAATTGGATTCCAATTTATCTATAATTTTATCAATGATCTGTAAATTACAGAATAAAAACTTTTAGCCTGTACCAGCCATGGAGATCTGCTAATAGGAAAGTTCCAAATCCATGCAAATAGCTTGCATAGACTCATAAAATTATAAACCTTATTTATTAATTCAATATATACTAATTAACATACATTTATTTAACATCTGCCATAATGCCACGCATTGGGGATACGATGGAAAATTAGACAGATGGATTCCTTAATGTCATCATCTTGCGTTCTTATAGAGGAGTCAGATAATAAATGTATTTATATAGTAAAACATGTATCAGATGGTAAGACCCTAGGACATTATAAGTCGTCAAAAGTCTTGAGTTTTCCCTTACTCCTTATGTGTCTCAGTTCCTCCATGCTTCTGCTTCTTTAATTATACTCTTTCCTTCCCTATGACAGCTGGTTTTCTTCTATTTCTATCCAAACATTCACTCTACATCATGGCTTTTGATTAGCCATCATTTTTGTTTCCTCCTAAATTCACCTTCCTTGTGTTCTACCTCAGGGTCTTTCTTGAAGCATCCTATTAGTTTCAGAGCCCAATTCCAGCTTCTTCCACCTCTCCATATTTTTCAGCTTAAATTTCCAAGAGAGAGAGTCAGATTTGCCCAGCAGACCTTGGTATAAGCCACTTACATGTAGACCTCCCATACTTGGATGAGATGCCCTCCTCAATCAGTCAGAGTCTGAAGAGTAATGTCTTCCCTCGCCACACAATAGACTAGGGACATCTTCTTCAAAAGGGTCAAGAGCAGGTACATCTCCCTTGAGGAAGCAGTAGGCATGGCCCAGGATTATTCTGCCAGTTATAAGTGTACAAAGTAAAAAAAACACCTCTGCTTACACAACAGGTCTTTAGCTACCTATTCAATCCAAAATAAAAATGAGGAATGTGATGGTTAATATTGAGTCTCAACTTGATTAGACTGAAGGATGCAAAGTATTGTTCCTGGGTGTGTCTGTGAGGGTGTTGCCAAAGGAGATTAACATTTGAGTCAGTGGACTAGGAGAGGCAGACCCACCTTCAGTCTGGGTGGGCACCATCTAATCAGCTGCCAGCCTGGCTAGGATAAAAGCGGGCAGAGGAACGTAGAAGAACTAGACTGGCTAACTTTTCTGGCCTCCATCTTTCTCTTGTATTGGATGTTGCCTGCCTTTGAACATCAGACTCCTAGATCTTCAGCTTTCGGACTCTTGGACCTACACCAGTGGTTTGCCAAAGACTGCTAGTCTTCAGTCATAGACTAAAGTCTGCACTGTCAGCTTCCCAGCTTTTTAGGTTTTGGGACTTGGACTGGTTTCCAGCTTGCAGACGGACTATTGTGGGGCTTCACCTTATGATCAAGTGAGTCAATACTCCTTAATAAACTCCCTTTCATATATACATCTATCCTATGAGTTCTGTCCCTCTAGAGAACCCTAACACAGGAAGCCATTAGAGACTCTTTATGTTACAATGGAAAACTAAACTAAAACTAAATTAAAAAGCCAACACATCTATCAAAACATGATGTTTCATTAGGACAGGTTAAACATCATCTTCCTGTAGAAAAAAACAAACAAAACAAAAACTTTTGATCATCTATGCTATGTATAAACCTAGACAAAATCTGTGTCTGTTACATGGCCAGCTCTTTCCCCTGCAGTTCAAGAAAAAAATAAAAATGTAGATCATCAAATAAGAACAACTGAAATGGTTATGGAGGTGGGATGGGCTAAATACTTGAAACTACTCAAATTGGAAAGTCAGAGACTGA